AAAGAAGGCTAAGTGCCAAAGAACTGAGGCTTTGAAACTGGTGTTGGAGAAGACTCTTGAGAGTCCCCTGGACTGCAAGGAGATCCAACCAGTCCATCCTAAGGGAAATCAGTCCTGAATATTCATTGGAAGGACTGATGCTGAAACTGAAGCTCCAATACTTCGGCCACCTGATGCAAAGAGCTGACTCACTGGAAAAGACCCTGATGCTGGGAAAGACTGAGGGCAGGAAAAGAAGAGGACGACAGAGAATGAGGTGGTTGGATGGCATCACCGAGTCAATGGACAGGAATATGAGCAAACTCTGGTAGATGGTAAAGGATAGGGAAGCCTGGCGTGCTGCAGTCCACGGGGTCACAAAGAGTCAGACATGACTGAAGCAACTTAGAACGCCTGCAAAACTGGTGGAAGAGATGAAACATATGACAAGTCACTTGCTACAGAGACAGCCTGCAAATCCCATAGTGAAAAAGAGAGCAGCTGTACCCGGAACAGACACAGAACTTGCCAGCTGAACGAGACAAAGCAACAAACCAGTACGTAGAAGGGAAGAGCATCTGCAGAGAAAGCCCAGGAGCAAAGACACACGAGGACAAGGAAGCTCGAGGTCACGGTCGCCAGGGAAACTGTGACCAAGCCGCAGAGGTGCCACCGAGAGCCATGTTACGGACAGGGGCCAGTCGGGTGCCCGCCGGGGACGGGGGGCTGGAAGCATGGGCTGCTTTCAGGCAGGGAACACCCACGGTGCAGCCCCTCTGGAACACCGCTTGACGGGGTCCTGAAAAGAGAAACAGGTCTGTGACAACCTAGAGGGGTGGGATGGGGAGGGAGGTGGAAGGGAGGTTCAAGAGTGAGGGGACATGTTATACCTATGGCTGATTCCTGGTGATGTACAGCAGAAACCAACACAATACTGTAAAGCAGTTGTCCTCCAATTAAAAACAAATAAATTTTAAAAGGAGTCAGAAACAATTATAAGACTTAAAACCCAGCAGTTACTCCGTAGGCATCTCCCTGAGACGTCGGTCGCTTCCCAGGTCACTCGGGGTAAAGAACCTGCCTGATAAGGCAGAAGACCTGGGTTCGATCCCTGGGTCAGGAAGATCCCCTGGAGGAGGAAACAGGAAACCACTCCAGTATTCCCGCCTGGAATCCCATGGACAGAGGAGCCTGGCGGGCTGCAGTCCGTGGGGTCGCACAGAGTCGGACACGAGTAAGAGACTGACCCTCTGCTGAGAGGAGAGGAGACGAGGGCCTCACGAGGACTGAGCTTGGACGTCCTCGACACGAGGATCGGAGAGCTGGGAGCCAGGGTCCGCCTGACACAGGACGACGCAGTGCGGTCGTAGAGCAGCGCCAGGGGAGGACTCGGGAGGAGGGCCGGGCACCTGACCGTGGGGGGCGTTCTGGGAGAACCAGCGGGGGCAGAAGGCCCTGCCCTGGCCCAGAGCCCTGGATGCCTCGGGGGTGAGGGTAAGAAGAGAGGAGTGTGTGCACAGCTGCCCGAGTCCTGTGAAAGCTGACGGGAAAGCACCTCGTCCCCCAAAACTCAGCCAGCTGCTCTGCACCAGCAGTGACTGCGCCAAGTGCCCTGCATGGCCTGGGCCCTCTCTGCCCACGCCAGGGGCCAGCAGGACACGTGCCACCGGAGGCTGTTGACCAGGGCGCTGCCTCAAAGCTCGACACAGCTCACACACGGGGGCGGGGATCCCCAGCCATGGGGTGGGGGTGCAGGCGGCCCAGGTCTCAGTCAGACAGGGCCTCTGTCCAGGGGAGCACCGGGGCCCTGCAGCCGCAGGGAACCCCTCGGCCACAGGCACCCCCAAATCTAGAGAGCAGTAGTGGCCACCACCTCCTGATGGAGACCAGCCACCGCCACATCCTCGGGGAGACCCTGAGAGCCCTCTGCAGAGACCCCACACCAGGCTCCTAGGGGACCCCGTGCCCCTCCTCCTCAAGGGACTCTGNCCACATCCTCGGGGAGACCCTGAGAGCCCTCTGCAGAGACCCCACACCAGGCTCCTAGGGGACCCCGTGCCCCTCCTCCTCAAGGGACTCTGCACCCCTCCTTCTCCTCATGGGGACTCCGTGCCCCTCTCCTCTGCAGAGACCCCACACCAGGCTCCTAGGGGACCCTGTGCCCCTCCTCCTCCTCATAGGGATCCCGAACCTTTCCCCAGGGCTGTACCCGCCTTGGAGACAGACAGGAAGAAGGCGTTCCCAGGACGTGAGGAAGCTAAATCTGGACTGAACCCCGAATGAATGTGGACTGAACCCGGACTGAACTCACAGTGAACCTGGACTGAACGTGCACTGAACACGGGCTGAACGTGCAGTGAACACTGACTGAACCCGCAGTGAACTTGGACTGAACACGGGCTGAACGTGNACCTTTCCCCAGGGCTGTACCCGCCTTGGAGACAGACAGGAAGAAGGCGTTCCCAGGACGTGAGGAAGCTAAATCTGGACTGAACCCCGAATGAATGTGGACTGAACCCAGACTGAACTCACAGTGAACCTGGACTGAACGTGCACTGAACACGGGCTGAACGTGCAGTGAACACTGACTGAACCCGCAGTGAACTTGGACTGAACACGGGCTGAACGTGGACTGAAAGTGAACTGAATGTGGACCAAACTGAATGTGAACCCAGACTAAACATGGACCGAATGTGAACTGAACCCAGCTTGAACCAGAGCCCTAAACCAGGGCTGAACCATGACCCGAAACCAGGACTAAACCAGTACCGAGTCAGATCAAGTCAAATCACCAGGTAACTGAACACCCCATATCTATGAACAAAGGCAAAGCACTAAATGTCTAAACAGGTAGATGATAAATTTCACCAAGGACGCGAAGCACTGGAATACATGCAATGTCGATGACGGAAAATGATGAGATACAAGGAGACAGAAAGACATCCGGAGCTCGTGGGCTTGGAAACTCAACATTTTTAAGGTATTAGTGGTGCGAGATTAATCTACAGACTTAATGTAGCCCCAATCAAAACTCCAACAGAAAAAAAAAAAAAAAAACTCCAACAGGCTTTCCTGTGGAGGCTGACAAGCTGGTTCTCAGGGTTATGTGGAGATAAGAACGTCAGGATAGCCTGAGGTCAAAGGACATCTGAGAATCTCAGACCCTTTTAAAAGAACAGGGTTGGCTGTATGCTACCTGCTTTCCACAGGTTCATCCCCAGAGAGTTGCAGAGTGAGATTTCAACCACAGATCACAGGATCAGAGATCAGGAAACAGACCCACATGCACAAGGCTGACTGATTTTCGACCATGTAACTCCCAGTGCATCTCTGCAGGAAAAGAACTATTTCAAAGACCACTAGTTACCCGGATATCTTACACCACACACAGAAACTTAAGAGAAATAGATCAGAACTCTATATGCAAAAGGGAAAACCAGGAATCTTTTAGGAGGAAAACAGAAGACAACCCTGACAGCCTGGGAGACTCACACATTTCGTAGATTGGATGCAATACGTAAGAACCATGAAAGAATGAAATTGAAAGAATTAAAAAAAAAAACTTAACAGCTTTTTGTGTTCAAAAGACATGCAAACCAACAACAAAATGGGACAAAGACTGAAGAGAAATATGCGAAAATATAAGTCTCACAAAGGAGCTGCATGCAGATTCTACACAAACAGCCCTTATGTTGCTACTGACTTGCTCAGTCATGTCCGACTCTCTGTGACCCCATGAACTATATAGCTCACCAGACTCCTCTGTCCATGGGATTCTCCAGGCAGGAATACTGGAGTGGGTTGCCATGCCCTCCTCCAGGGGACCGTCCCAACTTGGGGATCGAACCTGTGTCTCCTGCATCGGCAGGTGGATTCTCTACCACTGAGCCACCAGGGAAGCTCCACATAAGGTTTCTTCACTTCCTATTAGCTCTTAGAGAACACAAGCTCAGAAGTTTTCTTATGGCATTTTATGTAGGAACATTTTCCTAACATTAATTATCCATTTCTTGGGGCCAAAGAAGTCTTATCATTTTATCCCAAAGACAACAGCCTTTTTTGGGTTACTAGCCTCTCAAAATTCAACTGAAGCCATAAATTCCACATTCACCAAGACATGTTTAAAGCCACCTTCAGGCCCCAGACAAGGTCCATCAACAGTTTTTTTTTTGGCCACAGCAGAATGTTGGATGTCAGTTCCCTAACCACGGGTGGGACCTGTGCCCTCTGCACTGGCAGCGTGGAGTCAACCACTAGACCACCAGGCAGGTCCCCGTCATTCCTTTTTGAAACCTCTTGGGACAGTTAAGAGAGAGTCATTCTGCTTTTCCTCAAAACCGGGTCTTCAGGGGACTTCCTTGGTAGCCCAGTGGCTAAGACTCTGGGCTCCCAAAGCAGGGAGCCTGGGTTTGATCACCGGTCAGGCAACTAGATTCCACAGGCCACAAGTAAGACCCTGGTGCAGTCAAATAAATAAATAAAAATAAGTAAATATTTAAAACAAAAAACCAAAAACCGGGTCCTCATGGTGACTTACTCTATCTGGGCATGGAAACTGCAGACCAGAGAAGGGGTCTTCAGTCTTACCCGCCCCCATCAGCACTTCTTTCCTTCAACAGACACACCCCCGCCCCCCTATCCCGACTATTCCAGCCCCACCACCGAGGCCATGTCACATCCTTCCAGGCAGAAGCTGGTCTCTCCACGGCCCCAGGCTGCACGATGCATGATCCTGTTCTTGGGGAAACACCACTCTGGCCTGAGGAACTTCACGCCCACGCTCTGTGGCTTTCTGCCTGCCATCCATAAGAGAGGTCTCTCAGGCAGCAAAGCCGCCCTCCTTCACAGAAAATTACAACTGGGCGACTGAACTGATCACTGGTCACTGAAGGAGACAGACTAGACACTCAAGTGCTTAGCACGCTTGACATTCCTCCACCTGCCTGGCCACCCCCAGCCATATGTCGGTGGGAACCCCCCAGTTACCTTCGCAGGCGTCAGCAGAAGCAAGATGAACTTACTACTCTCGCCCCTCCGGGTCGTCTAGGCCCTCGAATCGGCGGCCCACTCCGGGCACTGGAGGCGGCTCCCACGGGAAGCGCGGTGGACGCGGGGGAAGGGCCGGGCGCCCCGGGACCTTCGCACTCGTGCGGCCTCCAGGCAGGGTCGGGGGCGGCGGCTGCGAGCCAGGGCCCCGGCTGCGCCGCGTCTCCCGCGCCCCTCTCGGGCATCGCGGGCATCTGGATCCTCCGCAAGCAGTCCCGGAGCATCGCCTGCGTGCTGGACTCGCTGAGCCAGCACAGGAAGAGCTCGTCCACCTTCATCTTCAGGACCGGCTGCAGGACCTTGCCGGGCGGCATCTCCGGGGCTCGGGCCCTCCTTCCCGAGGGACGCCCCCACCCCCTCCTTCCTCGCGCACAGGTGCCTGGAGCCGGGACCCACGTCCGGCCAGAATGGACCACACGCGGAGTCGCCGACCAGCCCCTGAGGGCACGAGCCAGTGGGGGGTCAAGGGCCCCGGGGCAAGAGGCGGGAACCTGGCCGGGAGGCTCCCGGGGTCTGCTGAGGAGGCAGCGACCCGGCGGGGGTCGCGGGCCCGGGGTTCGGGGAAGAGGAGGCCCGGCCTGGTGGGGGTCGCGGGCCGAGGGTGCTGGGGTCCGCGATGAGGCGGCGCCCGGCCCGGATGGGGTCCCGGCGTCTGATGAGGAGACAGTCTGGCCCGGCGAGGGTCGCGAGCCCAAGGTTCGGGGAAGAGGAGGCCCGGCCCGGTGGGGGTCCTGGGGTCTGGTGAGGAGGCAGGGACCCGGCGGGGACCGCGAGCCCCGGGTTCGGGGAGGAACTGGTCCGGCCCGGTGGGTTTCGCAGGCCCGAGGTTCAGGAGGTCAGGGGTGAGGCGGTGCAAGGCTCGGTGGGGGTCGCGGGCCTGAGGTTCGGGGAAGAGGACGCCCGGCCCGGCGGGGGTCGCGGGCCCGGGGTTCAGGAAGTCAGGGATGAGGCGGAGCCCCACCCCGGGGGGCTGCGCGGACTCGGGGTCCCGGCTGAGGCGGGCGGTCAGACCGCGGGGGTCCCGCCCAACTCAGGGCAGCTTCAAAACGGGCGCGCCGGGACTAGCGCCCAGAGAAGGTCGCCTCAGCCGTGCGTCGTCGCGACGCGTGGCGTCATCACACGGCGCCGCCCGTCAGCCCCCCGAGGCAGTGCAGGGCGCCTGGGTGGGCCGGACGCTGTGCGGGACGCGTGGGCGCTCCGGAGGGCGCTCAGGAGCTGGACTGTGGACGGGGACGAGGGGTGGTGGGCACCGGACTCTAGGCCTTTTAGGTTTTAGGCTTTTGGTGGGTGTGGCCCCGCGCCAACGAGACTCCCGGGCTCCCCCCCGCCACCGCCAGGAGCTGCGCGCATGCGCCATGAGAGCTCGTCGGGAGGGGCACGCGCGGGTAGTTGGCCTGGCCGAGGGGCGGCTGGGGGGCTTGTCGAGCATGCGCAGTGCGTGCCCGCCGGGAGCGAGCCGGAGGCTAGGCCGAGTGCTGGAGGCGCAGGGCTATAGGGGGAGCCTGCACAGTGCGTGCCCGCCGAGCGAGCACGAGGCGGGGTCGGAGGCCAGTCCAAGTGTTTTAGGTAATACGGGCCCCTTCGGACCGCAAGGGTCGCCGTTACGTTAAGTGTTAAATCTTAATGATGCATTGGAGGCGTGTAACTGCTTTCAAGCTGGCCTTTCAGGATAAGCATGAGCTACTTTCGTAATTGCAAAAATAATCAGTTTTAATGGAGGCGAAATTAACTACTTACATGTCCTTTGGCCCCATGACTATCTTGTTTCAGCAGTTTTAACTGTTGAGAAATCATCCACACGGCTCACAGGCACCGCCTTTTTTATAAGTTTTTTTTTTTCCCTCTTTAAAAGTTTTCACTTAACTTTGCTCTCATTTAGGAGGTAATTTCAAGTTCTTAGGAGTTCAAGTTTCCTGCTTCTCAGTTGATCTTCCCTGGTGGCTCAGATGATAAAGCATCTGATTGCTGTGCGGGAGATCTGGGTTTGAACTTAGGGTCAGAAAGATCCCCTGGAGAAGGAAATGGCAACCCACTCCGGTATTCTTTGCCTGAAAACTTCCCTGGGCAGAGGAGCCTGGTAGGCTACAGTCCATGGGGTCCTAAAGAGTTGGTCACCAGTGAGTGACTTCACTCACTTTTTACTTCTCAGTAGTGTAAATACAGCTTTGTTGTATATAGCTCAATCATGTCCCACTCTTTGCGGCCCCATGGACTATAGCCCGCCAGGCTCCTCTGTCCCTAGGATTCTCCAGGCAAGAATATTGGAGTGGGTTGTCATTTCCTTCTCCGGGGGAGCTTCCCCAACCCAGAGATTGAACCTGCATGTCCTGTGTTGCAGGTGGTTTCTTTACTTCTGAGCCATCAGCTAAATAGCTCTTTGTTAAATTGTGATTTTATTCTGTGTTTGAATGATTGCAAACTTTGTGTTTGTCTACTGAAAAAAATAATACACCATCTCAAAGCTGAGAATTGTGTTTTAATCTGAGGACTTGCTCAAGACCTAAGCTCAGGAAGTATCCTCCCAGATCTTTCTGAGGGACTTTTCAGAAGACGTAAGGGAGGGGCCATGATATATAGGACTTTTGGCAACAAAATAGAATGTTGGAACATCAAAAGATGACAGTAATTTAAAGAAAACCAGACATTGCAAGTTAATGAATTTAGCGCTTTTCTGTGTGTGGGAAGATCTAAGAGTCTGGGTTTGATCCCTGGATCCGGAAGATTGCCTGGAGGAGGAAATGGCAACCCACTCCAGAATTCTTGCCTGGAGAATCCCCATGAACAGAGGATCTTGGCAGGCTACAGTCCATGGGGTCATAAAGAGTTGGACATAACTGAGGAAATTCATTCCACTCCATTCTGTAGGAATTAATGACAGGATGAGCCTGTGTGTCCTGAGAAAGGGAAAATATTTATATCCGAGTTGATGTTGTTGCCAACCCACAGCCTTCATCCTTGGCCAGAGCCATCTTGGGCTCTCATCATGCTCCCTGTGGCTGAACCTCACACGTTTACTGGGGACGCTGTTTAGAATTTGTCAGACACAACGGAGCACACTATCTGGTACACCAGAATCCTGTTCTTCTTCATCCTAAACCCCCTCAGGGTGCACCCTTGGGGCTGAGGCTTGGCGGCCTCAGCATTGTTTGCTTACTGATACAGCAGATGATGTCTTATCCACGTGGCTGAAGATAAAAACGCAAGTATCCTGGGTCACGAGAGGGCCGTGACACAGGCCTTCTGTGCGATTATTTCTGTGCCTTGGGAAGCTGATGCTTGTGTGTGCAGGTTGTCAGTTCTGTGAAAGTGTTAGGCACTCAGTCATGTCAGACTCTTTGCAATTCCATGAACTTTAGCTCCCCAGGTTCCTCTGTCCATGGGATTCTCCAGGCAAGAATACTGGAGTGGATTGCCATTCCTTCTCCAGGGGATCTTCCGGACCCAGGGATCGAATCCGGGTCTCCTGCCTTACAGGCAGTTTCTTTATCATCTGAGCCACCAGGAAAGCCCATGTCAGTTCTGGAGGGAGGCGAGTATTAATACGTGTTTCTGTTTACGTTTATCACACACAGACATCTCAGAGCACAAACAGGCTTTTCACTCTGGGTCTGTAAATGAGCTGCCACTCATCCATGTGGTTTTTTTTTTCTTTTTTTTTTGGCGGAGATTTTGGGAGGGGGGAGGATGGCATTTTTCAGTCCCTGGACAAGACGGCTTTGTACCCCGGGGTCTGCAAGGCCTGTGCGTTTGCCAGTGGAACATCGACAAACTCCGGGAGGGAAACAGAACCTCCTTCAGTCTGTGCGCTGGGGCGGGAGGCTGCCCCAGGGGACAGAGAGGTGCTGTGAGCCCGAAGCCGGTGGGGCAGAGGCCGGAGAGGTCTGGGATGGGCACAGCCACACCTAAACAGGGGCAGGACTCTGCTGATAATAGGAATGGAGCTCTGCTGGCTGCATCTGCCTCCCAGGGGTGGCTGGACGTCTCAGGGCAGAGGGTGGGGGTGAAGAGGAAGATTCTAGAAGCCAGTGCCAAATTGGCACTTGCCATGTCATCTGAAAAAGCAGAGACATCACTTTACCGACAAAGGTCCATCTAGTCAAAGCTATGATTTTCCCAATAGTGTAGTACGGATGTGAGACTTTGACCATAAAGAAGGCTGAGCATTGAAGAATTGATGCTTTTGAACCATGATGTTGGAGAAGACTCTTGAGAATCCTTTGGAATGCAAGGAGATCCAACCAGTCAATCCTAAAGGAAATCAGTCCTCAATATTCATTGGAAGGACTGATGCTGAAGCTGAAACTCTGATACTTTGGCCACCTGATGCGAAGAACTGACTCATTGGAAAAGACCGAGAAGGGGATGGCAGGGGATGAGATGGTTGGATGGCATCACCGACTCAATGGATATAAGTTTGAACAATCCCTGGGAGATTGTGAAGCACAGGGAAGCCTGGCGTGCTGCAGTCCATGGGGTGAAAAAGAGTTGGACACGACTTTAGTGACTGAACAACAGTAACTGGTGGTAAGGACTTGGTGCTTTCACTACTGAGGCTGTGGTTTCAATCCCCTGTCGGGGCACTAAGATTCCACAAGCAGTATGGTGTAACCAAAAATTAAAACAACAAATCTTTTTTGATTAGTATGCATTTTGATAAGCATCCAAAGATTAAGAATGTTGAACGAAATACAAAAAAATGACATGAACTCACTCCTTTTCCAGCCAAATTTTAACATAAAATTTGAAAAATCCCAAATTTTAGCATAAAATTAAAGAAAAATAAAAAATAAAATTTGAATATTGTAAAATTTTAGTATAAGATAAAAAAATTCTAAAAAAAAAGATTGGGGAGTGTGCAAATAATCTGCCCTTTTATCGACACGAAAGAGTTTTGCAGAAGTTACGTGTGTGCCTGGGTTTGTACTGTTTCTAGTGACGCTTTCTGGACGTCCACTGATGGTCTCCATTCAGTATGCCGGTTGTAAACGTGGGCTCAGGCCGCTGACCTAGTGAGGAGCTTTGACCCTGCCCTGTTCTGTGGTGTTTCTGTTCTTCCAGGGGCTGTCTCGGTTGCAAGCAGTTGTAACTTCTGGCCCTCAGCTTGCCGCTTGTCTCGGCCCCTTGTCTTTTGATTTACTGACAGTTTATTTGTGCTGGGACATGGCATAGCTAAATGGGTTAGCATCGGGTCATCTCAGTATGTGCCACACACCCAAGAACATGGGTAAATAAAACAGTTCATGATCTCAGAGAGCTGCTAGTGTAATGGCATGGGAGAGGGGAATCGTTCAGATAATTCGGTGTTCAATTACCC